AGTCACAGAGCCCCTCTGAGCTACGGTGAGGAGCTCCCTGGGGGCCCTGCGGTCAGGATGGAGCTGTTGAGAAGCAGAGGCCTCAGCCGTGGCTGCCCCCCGCCCGTAGACCTCACAGTCCTGTCCCACAGCTACTTCCCCACCCCACAAAGATCAGCGAGTTTGGAGACAGAGGGGTGGGATGCAGTCCCTGTTCTCAGCCCCGACTCCCAACTCTTTGTGTGTGTGGGGGGGGGTATCCTGGGTAGCTAGGATTACAGGTGTGAGCCACCAGCTCCAACTCCCCCCTATTTTTTATTGTTACTACAACTGTCACATAAGTCAGGTAATGAGTACAATTCTTCTTGGCCAATGTCACCCCTTCCCTCACTCTCTCTCCCAGTTTCCCCTCCCATCCCCAGCCATGAGTTGCATAGTTCATGTTCAACATAGTTACCCAATGACTACCTACTCTCAACTCTTGAAACCCACTGTCCCAGGCACGGGCCAGGTTCCCAGAGCCCCCTGGAAGCTCAGGCCTCCGTGGCTTGGAAACCACCCAGCCTGACTGCCCCACCCCCCCCCGGACCCCAGGGGCACAGGGGCAGCTGGCAGCTCACAGGGTCCCCCGAGGTGGACGGTTACAGAAAGGACAGGAGCCCAGCCTCTATCCTGGGCACAACAGAGTGTCACCGGAAGCTAAACAAGAAGAGCATCACCACACGAGGCCTTTAGCCAGACCCATCCTGAGCCAGCGTCTGCTAGCGCACGCCTTTAATCCCAACAACTCAGGAGGCTGAAGTAGGAGGATCTCAGATTCAAAGGTAGCTTGGGCAACTTTGCTAGACTCTGTCTTCACACTGGGGTCTCGCCCCATTGTAGAACAATGTGCCTAGCATGTTCAATTCCCAGCAGCAAACAAACAAATCCACCTTGGCCAGGCCCCAGAAGTTGGACAGTTTGAGGGCAGGGGTGAGGTCAGGAAGGAGGCTGAGCCTAGGTGAGGGTGAGGGGTGAGGTGTGGGAGGAGCAGGCAGGCTTCATAAGGAGGGGGTGGGGACTAGGCCAGGATCACCTGGCCTGGCCGGCCACAGACAGCTCACCCCCCATGAGCTCTCTACTCCCACAAACAATGGCAAGTCATGGCATCTTTCCAGAGTTGGCTGCCGGGAAGCCCAGAAGGTACTTTGCTGGTCTTCTGGTGTCATCCTCTCCTGTGTGAGTTTCCATCTGCAAAGGGCCAGAAGCCCTGCCCCCTGCTGCACCCCTGCATGCCCCCCCGCCTCCCCCCCTTCCCCCCCCCCCCCCAATTAGGGTATTTCTTCTCAGCTCCAGCCTCGGGCTCCTCACCTGGAAAAATGAGGAGCAAGACCCTTGCCTCCCAGGGCCCCTCTTTTTCAGACCGTGACAGACCCCACTTGGGCAATGTGTGGCCTGTGTCTAGAATGTAATTTGTGTTTTTTGTTTGTGTGTTTTTGCTTTGTAGCTTAGACTGGCCTTGAACTCACGACCCTCCTGCCTCTGCTTCCCCAATGCTGGGATTACAAAGTACACCATCAAGTCTGGCTTAAATGTGTTTCTTGAAAATGGAAATGAGCTTTTTTTTTTCTTTGTTGCTGTTTTTGTTTTCTTGTCTTTTTTGTTCATTTATCTATCTTTGGGAGGTAAGGTGGAGGGCACAGAAATGGAGGGACAAAGGGTGAGCAAATACAGCCGTGGTACTCACTAGACACTATGTTGAGAATGAACTATGGAACGTGTGGGTGGGGTGGGAGGGAGACACTGGGAAAGAGAGAGGAGGGAAGGGGTAATATTGTCCAAACATAGATGTACTGTTTACCTGATGTATATAACTGGAACCCCGTGTACATCACCTTTATAATAATAAAAATTTAAATGTACTTCTTGGGCTGGGAATGTGGCTTAGGGGTAGAGTGCATGTCTAGCATGCATGAAGCCCTGGGTTTGATTCCTCAGTACCACATAGGCCAGAAGCGGTGCTGTGGCTCAAGTGGTAGAGTGTTAGCCTTGAGCAAAAAGAAGCCCAGGGACAGAGCCCAGGCCCTGAGTTCAAGGAAAAAAAAAGTACTTCTTGATCCTTTTACTTGTATGATTATTTTTTTGTTTCCAGTTAACTGGGCCACCCACAGCAAGAGCAAGATGCAGGTCCGGGAGATGAAGCAGCAAATCAAAAGGCAATGTGAGGGGCTGGTGTCCTCCTACCTCGTCTCCTCTCACTTTTCTTGGAGCCCCAGATCAGCCAGACCGCCCTCCCCTCTCACACACTACTTCCTGCTCTGCACCTGATGGCTCTCCAGGGTCCCCAGGGGCCTTGGTACCCAGCTGGCCCGGCTCATCTCACCTGCCAGCTGACCCGGGTGGGCCTGTCTCTCTGTCACCCTCCCACCACTGCCAGCTGCTCCCTCCTGCCCCCTCTCCCAAGGCCCCTGACGCCCCACTGTGGCTGCAGGCCCCTGTTCCATCTCCACCTCTGTACTCAGCACCAGCTCAGGTCTCTCACCAGGCGGGGTGGGGGACAGCTGCGCTCCCTACACACCCATCCCTCGCTCACCTTCTGGGGCTGCATCGTCTCTGCCTCCACTTTCCCTGCCTGGAAAGTGAGCACAGGGGAGGAGAGAAGAGCTGCTTTTGCATAAGAGACCTGAAAGGTTATGTGTCCCCGAGGGGGTCACCAAACGCCAGCTCTTATCCATCTTACCAGTTAGGGCTTGCCTGTGGCACAGTGTTGAGAAATGGATAGCTATATTGGAGGGTCCACACCAAGGAAGGCTATGATCAGAGAGCAACAAACATCGGCTACAAGTGCCGGTTCAGGAATGCCACAATTGAATCTGGCCCATCGTAGATAGATTGGCGGGGAGAGAGACAGAGACAGAGACAGACAGAGAGGAACAGAGAGAGATACAGAGCTACAGAAACAGAGACAGGCAGACAGACAATTGATAGATGAATAGATAGATGATAGATGAATAGAAGATGGATGGATGAATAGATGAATACATAGATGATAAATGGACAGACAATAGACAATGGATGAACAGATAGAATGGACAGGTTAGATGGATGGATGGACAGATAAGATGGATAGATGATGGGCAGATGGACAGGATGGATCGACAGATGGACAGGTGATGGATGGGTAGATGGGTGGGTAGAAGATGAATAGATATTTATAGAATGATATCCATGACCACGGGTAGGATTTTCCCAAGCCTAGACATGTGAGGCCTGGTCACACAGGACGAGAAAGTGATTCTTGTTAGTGGAAAAGGTGCCTCTTCACCACTTTCTTGCTTTCTCTCAAGGAGGGAAGTTTCCCTTTGTCTCAAAAAGTTCCCAGCAGTTCCAATCTCCCCAACAGGAATCTTAAATGCACTTTAATATTGCTTTATTTTATTATATTCTTATTCAGTGCTAGGGATTGGACCCAGGGCCTCATGCACACTAGGCAAGCTCTCTACCAAAATCCCAGTCCAAACTCATTTTGTTGTATTTAAACATTAGTCTTCCATTTACAGAAGCAGTATAAAGATTATTCTTTAATAAATGTATTTAAACAAAAAGGTAAACTGGTTTAGGAGGGGAAAATATGAACAATATGGTTGCCAGTGATCATTTAATAGATAGATGATAAATCAACAAGGACTTAATTAAGAACTACAACCTTCCCACATAATAATAGTCAAGCCCTAGAGGCAAGTGCTGCTTCTATTTGGGAAGAAGGGCAGTGAATTCTGAGAAGTCTGGTGCATTACCTGAAGACATACAGCAAAGAAAGTGGACCTTGAGCTCAGAGGAGCCCTGGGGACCAAGAACACATAACTTGTCTGGCATAAGGTAGGAGTTGAGACTGAACTAACATTGAGCTTCTTCCACAATAAAGACCCCTCAAGAAGGGGGTTTACTCCGGACATGAGTTCATCCTGACCCTAGGTCTGCAGGCCCCTTCTGGCCATGGGACTTCCTGTGTGGGGACCCCAGCCCCTCTGCAGATGCGGCTCAGCTCCCTCTCCCTCTTCCTCAGGCGCTTCCTCCACGGGCACCAGGTCCCAGAACCTTGCTCTGATCCTGAGTTCAAATGTAGAATAATGAAGCAATCTGGTTGGCTAGATCAGGCCTGGCCTCTGTGATTGGACAGACCTTCTGTAGCAAGGCTCCTCATAGGCTGCTGGTCCTAGCCATTGGGTCAGGTGCCCAATCAGCTGCGAGCATGACCTAAAAGTGGAGGCCCTGCAGCCATCAGGTCAGGCTGCTCCTCTTCTCCTCTGCTCCCCAGGTACAAACTGTAGTCTCTGGCAGACAAGAGGGGGTGGCAGAGAAGGAGGGGTGGGGGAGCATTGGGGAGGACAGGGCTGCTGTGGGAGGAATGAGCCCCCTGCAGGGGGCGGGGGGACCTGAGCCCTGGCCAGGTGATACCAAACACTTCATTAATTCACCCGGGTGAACAGGGTGGGTGCTGGTACCAGGTCCTGGGCAGTAAAAAGACAACGAAGTCCCAAGTGTCTCGTCCTTCTGGAGGCCCTGGTGGCAGAACACAGCCCTCCGCTGCCGATGGGGTGGAATGCCAGGCCGGGGCTCCCTGGTCACTCAGTGGGGGCTGCTTGGACCTAGGGGTTATTTGCAGCATAAGTCTCTGAGGCCAGTGGAAAGTTCTAGCAGAGCCCTTCTGCCTGAAATTCCTGTCCATACTTGGGCCAAGCAGTCTGAGGTCCAGATCAATCCAATCCATGAGAGCAGCAAGGCATTTTTTTCTCCAGATGCTCTGTAACCTCAGCCACGTCTTTCTCCCCACCCTACCCCCCTAACCCACCCAGTACTGGGGCTTGAATTTGGGGCCCAAGGTGCTGCCCCTGAGCTTTTCGCTCAAGGCTGGCACTCTACCACTTGAGCCACAGCACCACTTCTGGCTTTTTGGTGGTTCATTGGAGATGAAGTGTCTCACAGACTTTCTTTCCCTTGGCTGACTTCCAACTACAATCTTCAGATCTCAGTCTTCAGATCTCAGTCTCCTGAGTAGCTAGGATTACAAGCTTCAGGGGACTCGGTAATTAAAGAGAGAGGAGAGGTCTATACCCTCAAGCCTTCCCAGAGACCCCGAGCAGCAAGTGGTGTCTGGCTGGCAGTAGACCGCTGACTGCAGGGCTGGGAGGGGTCTCTGGGTGGGCGTGTCCAGGGAAGCATCTTCTACTCCCTAGGCCCAGGGCCCGTCTACACCAGGTGAGTAGGGTCCTGAGCCTGGAGTTCTTGGAGGGACAGATAGGCATCTGTGTTCAGGGCAAGGCCAGCAGCAGGGGCCCTGCCCTGGTGTTGATCATTAGCGCTGGTCCAGGGGGAGCTGTCCCCATCCTCGGGGCTGGAGGCACAGACCTCCTCCCCAGCCTCACCCACTGCCAGCTCCACGAGGGACTGCAAAGCCTGTAGTTCTGGGGTTGCTGGTGTAGGAGGCCCTAGGGGCTGTGGATCCCCATCTTGGGGGTGTCCCTCCTGCTGGGTGGAAGACAGCCTCCCTTCGCTGGTCCCCCTGCCCCCAAGGGCAGTGTGTGGAGGGCTTGGGCCGCTGGGGGAGAAGAGGAGCAGGTCATCCCCCGGGGGGAACGTGCAGTAGGCATGTTCGTCCCCGAACGCGGGTGGCAGGGGCAGGAAGGGAGGTCCCGGTGGGGGCAGCTCCTCAGGCTCCCCCTCCACCCCGGGGTCGCAGGTAAAGTACACCTGGCACGCCTCGATCTCCAGGGCGTCGGGGAGTTGGAAGAAGAAATAGCCCTGGTTGGTGAAGCAGCTGGTCTGCGCGTGGCCACTGGGCGAGGGCGAGGACACCTTGTCCTGCGGTAGCAGCAGCAGCCGCGTGGCCTTGGCGTCCCTGTCCAGCACCTCCAGTGGGGAGATCTCTGGGGCCAGGCCAGCAGGGCTGAAGGATGACGCCGGGAAGGGCGAGGACAGCCATTTCTGCAGAGAAAGGAAAGAGAGGGAGGGGTTGCTCTGCATCCCTCCCCAGCTCCCTCCTTCCCTCTCCTCGGTGCCTCTGTCAGGAAGACACCCCCCCTTCCTGGCTGCCAACCCAGGCATATGCCCAATGGACCCAGGGCTCCGGCATGGACCTTTCTGGCTTGTGAGGCCCAGGGGCTTCTGGGAGCCTTCACTGTTAGCTGCCTCCTTACAGACCTTCCTTCGTCACGAAAGTGAAGGGGGGAAATAATGGAGCTGAAGGCCTGCCCGGTGCCAGGGACTCCCATATGTAATGCTAGCTATTCAGCAAGGCTGAGCTCTGAGGATCTGCAGCTTGAATCCAGCCCAGGCAGGAAAGCCTGTGAGACTCTGACCTCCAACGAACCAGCAAAACACAAAGCCCGAAAGCCGAGTCTGGTGGCTCACACCTGTAAGCCCACTAAATCTACTCAATAGGGTGGAGAGCAGAGGATGCCAGGTTGAGGCCAGTTCTCACAGTTTTGTAGACCACAGATTCCACCAGCAAGCCGGGTATGGCAGCCTGCTCCTGGCATCCCAAATAGCTCAGAGGCACAGATAGGAAGATCATGGTCTGAGGCCAGTTCATGCAAAACCATGAGACCCTATCTGAAAAAGTAACTAAAGTCGACAAAGGCTGGGCTGGGGCCTCAAGTAAGAAAGTCCCTGTCTACCAAGCATAAAGCCCCGAGTCACATTCCAGCACCACAGATAAATATGTTCAATGAAAGCGCAGCCTAGGCAAGAGACTCGAAGTTTTAGGGCATTTTCCCCAGGATTCCAGAAAGATCCTGATGGGCCATGAGAGCGGGGGTCCAGGTTGGTGATTCTACCAATCCCGGACGCTCAGGGCACCCGCCAGGCGCCTCCAGCCGGAGCCCGAGGCCAGGTTACTGCCATGGAGACGGTACTGTTTTCTTTTTTTTTTTTTAATGAGTGCCAGGATTGGGGCTGGAACCCAGGGCCTGGGTGCTGTCCCTGAGTTTTGTCACCCAGGGCTGGTGCTGTATCACTTGAGCCACAGTTTTTGCTCGTTGATTAGAGAGAAGAGTCTCACAGACTTTTCTGCCCCCGCTGGCTTTGAACCTGTATACTCAGATCTCGGCCTTCCGAGTAGCTAGGACTACAGGTGTGAGCCATGGCATCAGGCTTTAGATGCCGGCGAGATGGTGGTTGGTACAGAGGTGAGGCAGGTCTCGGTTCTGCCCGTGCTGAGCATGGAGAGTGCCAGGAATCCTGGCGCAGGAAGCCCAGGGCGATCCCTGCGGGGCCCCCCAAGCACTTGTCCCGAGCCAGGCAGCGTCCCCAGAGCCACACGCAGGAACACCACCTCCTCCCCATCTGACAGGCAGGAACATCGAGGCACAGGGAGGTTCCATAACATGCCCAAGCCCACACAGCAGAGAAGCGGCTGAGCGTGTGGCTCAGGAGCCATTCAGGGGCAGCACCACACAGCCACGGGACGGACGGCTCACACCACGGCCCCTGCTTACTGAGGGCAACAGCCATTGTCACTGGCAGCTCACACTCAGGGCCGGCCTCAGGCTGCCCGGCTGCTCCTCCCTGCCCACCCCATTCCTACCTGGACGTCTTCATGCCGGGAGAAGAACTTGGAGGGGTCCGGGGTGTGGCTCCTCAACGCTGTCTTCAGCCTAGCCAGGGGAGACGGGAGAGACAAAGGGTGAGACTGGAAATGGGGAAGAGGAGGTGCCGTGTCCTGAAGTAAACCCCACGGCTCTGGGGGGTGGGAGGGCGTGGGCCTGACCAGGGCCATTCATTTGTTCAGAAATGTAGACTGTGCGCTTGCTGAGGGAGCACTCAGAGGGAGCACCCCAAGGGAGTCCTCAAGGGAGCACTCAGGGAGGGAGCACTCAGGGAGGGAGCACTCTCCAAGGGAATACGCACTGGGGGAGCACTCAGAGGGAGCACCCCAAGGGAGTCCTCAAGGAGGGAGCACTCTCCGAGGGAGCACTCACTGGGGGAGAGCACTGTGCTGGATGCTGGGGACACAGGGATGGCCCCCAGAGGAGCTGACATTCTGACAAGGAATCAGCCCCAGCCAAGAGTGCGATCTACCCGCTTTGTGAGCAAGAGGACGGAGTGGCCAGTGGGAGAAAGCACGAGGGCCAGAGTGGTCAGGGCCGGAGACAGCTGGGGGTACACGGAGGGAGAGAGGAGGCCCAGTCAGGGCTGCCATGCGTGCAGCCCAGGCTCCGTCCTGCTCAGGGGCCTCTGGCTGAGTGGGGGCTGAGCGGCATGATCTGCGGGCACACAGGACGGGTGTCCAGAGAAGAGACCCCATTTTCTAATTGCACAGGGGTCAGGGAGTATCCTGGGTGCAGTGGAAAGTCAGGACACCATCCAGAAAGGGATGGGTGGGAGGGACTGCGGAAGACACGAGGGAGGGTGGGAGGGGCTCCCTCCCCACCCAGGGGCGGTGTGGAGCTGGGTGAAGGGTGCCCCTTGAGAGGAAAGGGGGACGAGGTATCGCTCAGAACCCCCACACTGGAACACAGGCTGTGTGGCCTTGGGGAGGTCGGCCACCCTCTCTGGTCCCACCCAGCATCAGGTAAAAGTGCTCCAGCACCATGGAGAAGCACAGAGGTGTCATCTCTCCTCCTGGGAGGAGCAGAGCAGAGTCCTCAGGGAGCTAAGTCCCTGGAGTAGCCTGTGAACCTTGCGGCTCGGCCCTCCAGGAGGTGTAGCCTGTGAACCTTGCAGCTCAGCCCTCCAGGAGGTGTGGCTTGGGTAGTTGAGCTCCTTACCTAGCAAACTAGAGGCCCTGAGTTCAAATCCCAGGGCTGCCCACAAGAAAAGAAAAAATGTACGCAGCCCTGTGCAGAGAGAATCAGGAGGAGCCGTGAACACGGCCCCACTTTTGGGGGGGCCCAGGACAGGTGTTAGCAGCAGGTAAAGCCCCCCCCCAGCCCCACCGGGAAGGGGATGATTGCTAAATGGGGGCAGGGCCAAGGGGCGGGGACTTGCTTACCATGGCCCAAGGTGCAGGCAGTTGGCCAGGAAGTAGACGGAGATGAAGAGGCCCAGAAGGCCTCCGACCGTCAGGACGGCGCTGGTCCAGGGCGCAGGGGCTGGCCAGGGCCGAGGGGAAGAGGGGAAGAGGGGAGAGCATGGCCAGTCTGGTCTCTGCAGCCATGCCCTTCTGGGCCCCACACCTGCCAGCGCCCCCTCCTCCACACACAGCCTCCCGGGTGCTGGCAGCTGGGCTGGGGTCCTGTGTAAGCCCGCCAGACGCTACTGAAGATGCCCACGGCCGCTGGCCGGCCACGCCTGGCCTCCTCCCAGGACCAGCACAGGGTCCCAGTCTGCCTTGCCTTGAACTAAGCATGTGACACAAAGGGGACAGGCTTCCATGTCCCCAGGCTGGGCCCTGCGATGCCATCCTGCAGACTGGGGAGGCCCCAGGGGACTGGGGGAAATGTGGGCACTCTTCTGCCGCCCCCTACTGGCTTGGGTACCCCCCGGGTGAGCTGGCATGGAGGAGGACGGGCTCCCCAGCCCCAGCCCCAGCCCCAGCGCTCCCGCTGCTTACCCACATGCTCGGGTTTTGTGCGGAAAGCCAGGGTCTGGCTCCAGGGGCTCCAGACGGTGTGGTGGCCCCGCTGGGGCCTGACCCGCACTTGAAGCTCGTAGGCCGTGTCTGGGATGAGCGTCTCCAGGGAGATCCACTGCTGCCTCTGCTTCAGGCTCAGCACGGAGGCTTCCTGGGGGGCAGACGGGGTGTTGGGCCGTGCCACCCGGGACCTCGAGCCACCCACCTCCATGTCCGCCAGCTGCTCAAGCCCCAGGACCGCCCGGCCCCTTTCCTCACTGTGCCTAGCTGCTTTCCAGCCAGCGGAGCCACTCTGGGCTGGCAGGGACTCCCTGCTGGCCTCCAGTGCCCGTAAGTCCACAGGGCGCCGAGTGCCAGGCAGCCCCCCAGCCACCCCCAACGCCGCTGCTCTACACCCATCCACGGCGTTTGACCTGTTGGCACGTCTGATGGTATGTGAGTCCCTGACTATAGGAAGCTGGACAGCCTCCCTCTTCCATGCCCTCCCTTGTGTCAGCACATAGTAGGTACTCAGGAGCACATAGTGGGTACTCAGCTGGGAAGATGGCTCAGTGGTAGAGTGCTTGCCTTGCATGCCTGAGGCCCTGGGTTCGATTCCTCAGCACCACATAAGCAAAAAGAAAAAAGCCGAAGTGGCGCTGTGGCTCAAGTGGTAGAGCGCTAACCTTGAGCTGAAGAGCTGAGGGACAGCGCCCAGGCCCAGAGTTCAGGCTCCACGACTGGACCCAAAAAAAAAAAAAAAAAAAAAAAAGAGTCTCACATAGTGGGTACTCAGAAGCACATAGTAGGTGTTCCTGAGGAGCACATAGTAGGTACTCAGGAGCACATAGTAGGTACTCAGGAGCACATAGTGGGTACTCAGAAGCACATAGTAGGTGTTCCTGAGGAGCACATAGTAGGTACTCAGGAGCACATAGTAGGTGTTCCTGAGGAGCACATAGTGGGTACTCAGGAGCACATAGTAACTACTTATGAGCTAGTACTCAAGAAATCCAGCAAACGAAGGAGTGCAGAGGTGAATAGAAAGCGCTCCCAAGCAGGCAGCTGCCCTTTTGATTTCATGAATCTTGCCCCAGGTTCCAACTGGAACTTGCTGCGGCCGAGCTATAATGGGCTGGGCAGAACCAGGCAGGATGGGGGGGGACGCAGCCACCCCCCTCCCACGGGGGGCTGATGGACTTGGCTGAGATGGAGGGGCGCAGCCTGGGGCAGGTCCCCACCCTAGAAGGACAGCCCGCACGGGTCCTCGCTCACCTCCCAGCTGTGGGCCTGAGACCGCTTCCGGACCTCAAACTCCAAGTCTTGCTGGATGTAGTGTGAGATCTGAGAGACGCGCCAGGTGACGTTGCACGTGCGGCTGTCCACGGAGCCGACCTGGAGGGCGTGGGGGGTCTTCAGGCGGACTGCAGAGAGGAAGGGAGAGCGGGCAGGCGCCCCATCACCAATGGTGCCTGTTCTGGTCCCTTCCTGCACCGGCTGCACCCCCCTCTGCACCTGCTGCCCATCCAGCGTAGCCCCATCACCCCATGCAGCCCCCCCCCGCCCGCCTCCCTCCTCCCAGCAGTGCTCCGCCTCCCGACCACCAGACTGAATATGTCTGGCTCCTTCCTCCTTCCCTGTGCCTACAGGGTCTGTGCTGCTGGGACATAACTGGGCCCAGGCTGGGACGGCTGCACCCTGCACCAAAACCAGCCTGAGAGTTTTACCTGAGTCCCCTGCACCGTATTGTATGTATGACTCAGTGATGCGTATTGTTGAATAAATATGTAGCTATAGGGGAAAAAGCGTGTGTGACCCCCATTTCTATGCTCGTGAGATGCTGAACGCCAATAGTAATGAGCAGACGTTTACTAGATCGCCACATGCTGTGCAGCCCCTGTGACTTGGCTCAGACCCCCTTAAACAGATGGAGAAACTGAGTCTCAGGCAAGCCAGTGGTCTGCCAGTCAGATCTCACCATCAAGGTAAGGCTGCCACTTGAACCCGACCTGGATCCTGGCCTCTACCCCACCTGTGCCCTCACAGTGGCCCCCTAGGCCAGAGGGACGCTCAGTCACTCAACAATCCCAGAGTACCACCTTTGTCGGGCCTGGCCCTGGTGCTCAGAAAGGAGACATGGACACAGACTTTCAGTCGCCATTTCCAAAGGAGGTAGGAAGGGCTGGGGAAATCCCGGAGGACCTCCGGGAAGAGGTGACTCTTCACTGATCCTTGAAGGATGTGTGAGAATCTTCCAGAGGGGAGGGGCCTTCCAGGCAATGGAACCGGCATGTACATGGGCTCAGAGGCATGCCACAAGGCCTGTGCCGGGGTTGGAGAACTGGCTACGGCCTGTGGCAGAGATACGGAGCCACAAGGGGAGGGGTGCTAAAGAGGGGAGCGGGCCTGGAGTTGCGGGGTGTAGGGGTGAAGCTGACAGGGACAGAGACAGCAGACAGATGTGTGCGGTAGGCAGGGATGTGCCGCCGGCCCCACCCCCGCCCCCGGCTCCTCACTCACGATTGTCGAAGGGCCTGAAGGTCTGGGTCACCACCATCCGCCACTGCTGGCCTTCCCAGCACACCAGGCTGACGTTGACGCGGTCGGCAGCCGTCAGCCTCTGGGACTGCAACGCAGGAAGGGCAGGGCTAGGAGCTGCCAGGATGGGGGTGAGAGGGGGGACCCCGGGGCGGGCCGGGGGAGACCGGAGGGGACTGGACAGAGAACATGGTCTAGCATGGACCAAGTTGTGGATCTTTTTTCCTTGATCCGCCACAACTCAACTGTTGTCCACTCAACAGCTGTCCGGTGGCGCGGCCACAGACAGCGTGGGAATCCAAGGGCAGGGCCGTGTTCCAATAAAACTTTATTGACAAACACAGGTGACGGCTGGATTGGGCCCACAGCTTCGCAGTCAGTTTCCCACCCCGCTGTAAAGCGGAGGGGATGGGGAGGATGGGCTACCTGCCTGGGGAGGAAGAGCGCTCCCCGCCCCCCATCCCTCACCCCCCCCACACACACTCTGATGTTTCTAGAAGGAAACGGCTAGGCACCCCGGTGTCCTGGGCTGCTACCTGCCACTCACTCAGGCACCCGCGGGGTCTGAGTTCACGGGCTCCCAGCCCAGCCCCTGTGACCTGCACAAATCCACTCTGAACCCAGTCTTCTCACTTCCAGGCTAGAAAACGCTTCCTCCCTCTGCCCCCAGGACCCTGCTTCAGCTTTCCCAGAGCTGCCGTAAGGGCCAGATTCGCCATTATACCCCGCAGTTATTCTTACGGTAAAGCTGTTGCCAAGAATGCACTCCCAGGAGCACTTTTGCTGCACCAGGCGCCTGGCGCAGACTGATCTCTCTCCACACCCTGGGGGAACTGCTCAGTGACTGTTCCCACCTTATCACAGACCAGGGGGCGAGCGCACAGAGAGGCTTAGGGACTTGCTGAGGTCACACAGCAAGGAAACGGGGATGGGGGTGAAGCCGGCCACTGCAGAGCTCTGCTTTCAGAGGCTGCACAGAGAGGGAGCCCCCAGGTCCCCCCCCTGCAATCCTTGAGAATCTGAAAGCTGACAAAGGCTGGAACACGGGGACCTGGGGGTCCCCCGCTCAACACCACAGTCTTGGAACACTGGGGTACGCCCCCATGAGGATCAGCCAGGGGCTCTGTAAGAGGCAGCCTGGTGCCCTGGGAACCCACAGCCTGAGTCCAGTCACCACAGCCCTGTGGCCGCGCCCAGGCTGTGTGACCTTTGGCAGGACTGGCATCTCTCTGAGCTGTTTCTTCCCTGGTTAGCGGCGAGCGGTGCTGGAGCGGGTGAGATCCGCTGGTGAGGGTCACTGCGGGGTCCTTAGGGACCTGTCAGGTGCCTGGATGCCCAGCCCCTCACCATGACCCTCCAAGGGAGCTCCCATTCTTTACAGAAGGGGAAACTGAGGCACCAAAGTCTCCCCAGCTCACCCAAACTCTCTACTCTTCCCGACCTTTGTGGGGGAGGGCGGGGGGGAGTGGTTATTGCTGGGTTTGTGGCTGTGATTGTGACTAGGGGTGCTGTCCCCTCTTGGTAAGGAAGGCATAGTACAGCAGGGATCCCTGAGGGAGTGAGGGAGGGCGGGAGGGAGGGAGGGAGGGGCAGCCCAAGCCTGCAGGGGCTCAGGCCCAAGCCCACCCCAGCAAGCCAAGGCAATCCCTGGCTGTTGCCCACCCTGCCTTCCCGCTCCCCACCCCTCTAGGGCCCCCACTCACATCTGGATCTCCAAGGATCAGGTTGCAGGCCGAGGAAGCCCCATTCACCGGAAGCATCTGGCAGGTCACATTCCAGGGCCTTTCCAAGTAAAGGAAGCTTCTTAGGGAGGAAGGAGGGCTGGAGGGAGCCCTGGGGCTGCCCAGAGGCCATGTTCCACCCCACCCGTCCAGCCTGGCCCCCAGCAGTGACCCAGATCCCCAATCCAGAGCCCCCCAAAACTCCATGGCGCTTAGGGCAAAGTCTAAAGAGGACTGTGGAATCACCAGCGGCCAGAATCAGGGCCCAAACTCACCTCGGCCCTCCCTCTCCCTCTCTTCTCCTCACCCCTCCTGCCTGGGATCAGACACCCACCCACAGGCTGGACAGGTACGCCTCTTCCCGAAACCCCAGCCTCTCCAGTCTCCCACAGCTGCCCCAAGGGTCTTTCGACATCACATTTTAATGAGCAGAGCTTGGGGGAAAACCAGCCCGGTGGCTCCTGCTGGTAATCTTAGCTAAGCTGGGGGCTGAGATCTGAGGATCCCCATCACCACCAGCCAGGAGGCCAAGTTCGTGAGATACAAGCCTCCAATTAACAACCAAAGCCAGAAGGAGGGGTGTGGCTCAAGTGGTAGAGCACCAGCCTTGAACAAAAAAATCATGCTCAAGGCCCGTGTGCGGAAACTGAGTTCAAGCCCAGGTACTGGGACACACACCCAAAATTGGGGAGTCCCAGTGACTCCCCCCTTCCCCCCCCCATAACACACACATATACGCACTGCTGCTGGAGTCTAGCTTTGGCCTAGCAAACTCGCAGCCAGTGTCCCGCAACACCCCACCCGGCTGTGGGATCCCAGGACCCCAGTGGACAGACAAGCACCTGGTCCCGGTCCAGGGGGCCAGGGGAGCAGGATGCTGTGGTCCAGACCCTGTGAGGGTCAGGCCTGGGAGGTCCTCGGTTCCCAGGTGGCCCGGCAACCCTCACCGTACGTCCGACCGGGCGTGGATGCGGCAGGCTGTGGCGGGCAGGCCCTCCTGGGGACTCCACATGCAGGAGACGTTGGCTCTGGAGTTGTAGAAGCACGTGAGCTGGGAACGGCCTGGGATGGCAAGGCGGGACATGAGTGGAGAGCTCCCAGATGCCCGCGGAGGAGGTGAGCCGCTCTCACCGCAGAGATGGGAGACACTGAGCCCCAGAGCCAGCAGGGCGGTGCCCGCCGCCTCCCCCCATCCTGTTACCCTCCCTCTCCTCTCCTGTCCCCTGCTGGACCCCCTCAGAGAAGCAAGCCCGGGAGGGGCCCCAGCCTCCCCCCTTCCCCCTGAGACATGCCTCTGTCCAGTGTTGGGTCCTCACCTTTCACTGCTGGGGGCTCCAGGGCTGTAGTCAGAGTCAGGAGGAGCATGAGCAGGGACAGACACCAGGATGGAGCTGGGGCCGCCATTACAGCTGCAGGGTGGAGCTGGGAGGGGAGACAACACTGTGAACCTGTGCCCCTAGGCATGCTGAACTGCACGTAGACAATCAATCCAACCTCAGGGCCTTTGCACGTAAGAGTCTGTCAGTTCCATACTGCTTACTCCCTTCCTTCATGGCTCTGCTCAGGCACTTCCTCCCTAGAGAACTTCCAGGGCAGGCTAAACAGAAAAGCGCGGCCCTGGGCTTGAACCTCTATCACAGTACCGCTGTGTCCAGCCGTCAATCTCTACACTCAGAGCGCCGGTTCTGAGACCTCCCTGTGTCCCTAAAGCCATGGGTAGTGCCAACCCTGTGTCATGTGTTTTTCCTACAATGAAGTTTACGTTGTAAATCGGGTGCAAGCGATGAACACTGCTGTCCACCACAGAGCAGCTCGCTGGTGCAACTGTCACTAGCAGGGTGCCCGTGGCTTTTCCTCCGCTAACTCGGGGGGGACTCGCTGCGGTGATGTGGGGTGCCGTGGGGTGTCACTCGCCTGTGTGGGGAGGCAGGGAGGACGGCAGAGCGGGAGCTCCCGGGAAGGGCCACCTGCCGGGGAAAGCCTTGTTTCCACACAGCGGCTCCATCACTGAGCAGCTGAGAGCCACTGGGCAGGCCCTGGACACGTGGTGGACCCGCCAGCCACAGGGCTCGTTTGCGCATTAACTACCCAATGTGGGGTTCATTCAGGACGTAGCGGGAAAGGACAGACACCCGAGCGCGTCACCGTAGTCAGAAACGCAGGCAATTAACATCCTGCAGCTCATCTAGATCCCAAGTTGTCTGCTCAGTATTTTCTTGACCACGGCTGCCCTGGCACCTGAACTGGTGAGAACTGGAGCAGCAAATAAGGGAACACACACACGCACACACACGCACACATACACACACGCACACGCACACACGCGCACACACACGCACACATGCACACACACGCACACACACACACACGCACACACGCACACACACGCACACACAGTATACACTTGGGCACACACTATACACAGAGGCACATATGCGCACACGTGTATGCACATAGAATGCACACGCACACTCACACATGTATACACATGTACACGCTGCCAGCACATGCGTGCATGGCATGTACACGCACATGCTTGTGCATACTCCCCCCCACACACGATGCACACACGCAGTTGACCAGGGGAAACAAAGTTACTGAAACTGGTTTTTTTTGGTTGGTCCTGGGGCTTGAACTCAGGACCTGGGTGCTGTCCCCCGAGCTTCTTCTTTGCTCAAGGCTAGCATGTGAGCCATGGTGCCACTTCTGACCTTTTCTGTGTGTATGGTACGGAGGACTGGAACCCGGGGCTTCATGCCTGGGAGGCAAGCACTGTACCACTGAGCCATTTCCCCGGCCCAAAGCGACTGAATAAGCCGGCAAAGGCCTAGTGTGAGGAAAGCCGGCAGGCAGGAATGGAAGGAGCGGTAAGGGCAGGGGTGCGGCTGCTCTTAGACCAAAAGCCCCGCTGGCCGACAGACGGGAGCCCGCAGGACAGGACGCAGCTGTGGGGTGGGCTCTGTGAGCCAGCAGGATGTTTCTGGAAGGCAAATCTTTGTTCCAGCCGCTTCTCTGGACCCTAGGGTGGCCCCACGCCCCCAGAACAGACCCCCACCAGAGGGGCAGCAGCCAGCAGGAGCGTGGCCCCTCCACGCCAGGGGATGTGCCAGCCCCTGGGGAGGCGGAGGGCTGGAGGGCCCTTCCCGCTGGGATTCGACACTGCGCTCACAGATGGGGTGGGTGCTTGTAGCACAGTTCCTAAAGTTCAGCTTTGCAACCGATGCTGCCGGCATTAAGCAAATTGCAAGAAACAAGGGTTGAGCTCTGCAGAGAAATGGGGAGACAGCGGCCTGGCAGGCTGGGAGCATTTTCATTGGAGGTAGGAACTCCACCACACGAATCACACCCCAATAGTTCTTGCCTTGGTTTTTGTTTGGTTGGTTTTGGGGTGACAGTCCTGCGGCTTGAACTCAGGGCCTGGGCGCTGTCCCCGAGCTTCTGTACTCAAGGCTAACACTCTACCACTCGCAGTAGCAGAGCACAAGGCCCCGAGCTCAAGCCCTGGTACCAGCACAAAGCCAACCAACCAACCAACGAACCGAAGAACCCCAGCAAACCAAAAACCTGACCAACAATGACACGGGAGACAAGGAGTAACCAAAGAATGAAAATCAAAGCAGGTCACCCAGAGATTTGTAGCCTATGTCAAAATAAACGGATACACTCAACTCTTTACACACACACACACACACACACACACACACACACGGGGGTCAGGGAGATGAGAAAATAAAGCCTGTCAAAGACAAAGAAATAAAAAAATGAGACAGATATGAAGTCTTGAGCACCACCCAGCAAGCCCTATGCTGAGTCCCATCTGCCTCTACCTGTCAATAAACCTCTGGCCTGCTGCTCACCTGTGTAATCCCAGACTTTGCATCCCAGACCAACCGTTCTGGACTTGAACTCAGCCTGTCCCCCATAACATCGCTGCTACCCTGGGACCTCCTCCAGACCCACAGCACCGACCGCACCCAGCCTCTACTACAAACTCCGCACAGCCATGACATCGTCTGTCAGAAAGGCTCTTACCACTCCCATTCCACCCAGAGAAACTGAGGCACAAAGAAGCTGAGCACTGTCCGAGGTCACAAAAGAAGTAGATGGGGGAATCTGAAGCAGGCAGGACCCCCTCGAGCCAACTAATGCCATTCCTCGTGATGGCGCATGAGCTGGTGAACGGTGACCATGTTCTAACGGCCATACCAGCTGTGCCCGGTGGAGACCTACTGTGTGCTGGGTCCCCTGCCCACTGCTTTATGCATACGAGCCCCTCTCCTCTGCCTGCTGTTCCCAGTGTCCCCACTAGGAGGAGACCAAGGGACTGGGGTCATAGTCAGAGCTGGGATCCCATCCAGGGCTCCACCCCAGGGCCCACAGACTTGTGTCCTAGGGAATCAGGCCCCGCAGGTCAGCTGGGCAGTACTGCGTGTCCTAGAGACCAGAGAGGGGTCCTTGGGTTGTGTGTGCTTTCTCCTGGGTCCCCCCAGCCAGGTAAGAGCCCCCCAAAGTACAGAGGACCCAAACTCGTGGGTCACGTTGCCGTTCCCGGGCACTGGGGGGCTGTTGCCCAGAATGGGCCCGGCTATCACAGCGACCTTATTCTTAGGAGGGACCAGAGTCTAACCCCAGGGGACAGGAAGGGGACAAAGACGTGAAAGAGGAGAAACCTCAAGAGTCCCTCCCCCACACTGGGGCAGAAGGGGCATGGGGGGGCACACCCAGGTGCCCGCAACAAGGAGAGGAGAACATGGAAGTTTCCAGATGGTGACCAGACTGGGAGGGGTCCTAGTGGCCACAGAGGGTGTGCCTTCTTGCTGCAAAGGGGAAACTGAGTCTCAGGGCACTGCTCAGAGCCCCAGAGAGAAGGGTGCCAGCTGCAGGGGGGCAGACAAGCACTGCACAGGCCTCACCCACACTGCCCTTCCTCACTACAGACCGACGGCCATCCGCAGACTCACCGCCGTGTCCCCTCGATCATCACACACACCCCCAACCCAGGTCAGGCGTCAGCGTCCCCCCCCCCGGGGCTCACACTGCTCAAACTGGGTCACCCAGTTTCCAGGGTGCCTGCGGTGGTGGTGATCGATGCCAGCGCCGCCCGACACCTACTATCTCCATCCCCCGAACGTCCCGGCACTGAGCTCAGAGCAGCCGCCTCTTCCCGGCGACACACACAGGCAGACGCGCACACGCATGCGTGCACACACACACATGCACACGCAGTGCTGGCCTCCCCAGTCCCCAGGGGCCATGAGCAGTTAAGGATGGGGAGGGGGAGGCTTCAGACCCCGGAGAGACCCAGTCTGAGCCCCAAGTCCTGAGCAGAGCTCCTGCCTGAGCTGTGACCTGCCAGCTCAGTGACACATCGAGGCTCAGGGTCTGGTTTCTGGGGTTCCCCGGCAGGGCCCCCAGAGACCCATCACATGCCGGCTTCATAGCCGGGTCTCCCAGGGGACTTCTTTCTCCTCCCTTGCCCACAGCCTCCTAACAAGGACTCGACAGGTGCTCCGCCAGGCGGGGCCCCTCCACAGAGGACAGGCGGGAGCCCCCCCACCCACCCCGTGCCCACAGCCAGCCGCCTACCTCCTTTCCCAGCTGGGTTACCCCGTCTGGTCCCCAGGGTTTGGGGAAGATTCTCACCCCAGGGGTGCCCCCAAGGGGGTAGCCTGGCCCAGGCAAGCGGGGACAGCAGCAGCACCCCATCTCCGGGGGTGGGGGGAAGGTTTCTAAAGGAAGACTTAGGGAGGGAGGCTCAGGCAGAAACTGCTGGGGGGGGCACCCGAGTCTCCCCAGTGACCTTTGCTCCCACCCTGGGTGCGGGGCGGGGGGGGGGGCGGGGGGCCGGGCAGGCTGGGCGGGCATCACCTGGCTGGGACATGGGGCCGTGCTGGCGCGCTCTCTCCGGGCCTCCCTGCTGCCGGCTCCGTGGCCATGTCCGCTCGCAGCCCAGGTAGCAGCGAAGACTGAAACCCCAGGGCGAGCCCACTTCCTGTGCAGGGGACCAGGGCCAAGGTCGGGGTGACAGGACGGTGAGGAGGCATGAAGCTCCCGCTGCTCCCAGGGGCCCCTCCGATATCATCTCCCTCCCACGCTGGGGGTGTGGCCGCTCACTCACACAGGGAAGGAGGGGAGACAGGCCTCCTCCCCCACCCCACCGCACACGGGCCACCCAGGCCTCATCTGCCACGGGCTCACGCGCACACTAGCCCCCAGGCCCCCTCCCACACGGGGTCACACGCACACTAGCCCCCAGGCCCCCTCCCACACGGGGTCACACGCACACTAGCCCCCAGGCCCCCTCCCACAAGGGGTCACACGCACACTAGCCCCCAGGCCCCCTCCCACACGGGGTCACACGCACACTAGCCCCCAGGCCCCCTCCCACAGAGGCCTACCCTACACCAGGCAGTGCCGCGTCCATCCCTCAATGATGGCCAGTTGTCACCAGCCTTCCAGGAAACCCCTCATTCTATTTAGTGCTCAGTGATGGTGTTGAGGCTTGGTGAGCAATTTGGTGATCGCTTAACATGTCAGAGCCTTTCTTTAAGGGCTGACATGATTAAGATGCATTGGACCAAAACACTGAGCTGTTGAATTGATCTCTTTTCTTTTCTTTTTTTTTGCCAGTCCTGGAACTTGAACTCAGGGCCTGGGCGCTGTCCCTGAGCTTCTTTTGCTCAAGGCTAGCACTCTACCACTTGAGCCACAGCGCCACATTCCTACTTTCAGCTTTTTCTGCTTATGTGGTCCTAAGGCATTGGACCCAGGGCTTCATGCATGCTAGGCAAGCGCTCTACCACTGAGCCACCTTCCCAGCCCTGAGTTGTTGAATTGAAACCCCTTTATACAGCTGCATAAAGATAATTTATTTTTATTTTATTGGGTTTTTGGGGGGTTGTGGGGCTTGAACTCTAGGTCTGGGCGCTGTCCCTCAGCTCTTCAGCTCAAGGCGAGCACTCTACCACTTGAGTCACAACACCACTTCCAAAGAGGATTTAAAAAGAAGGAGGAGGAGGAGGAAGAAGAAGAGGAAGAGGAAGAGCAGAAGCACCTTCTTCATCCCTCAGCAGTTCCAGATCTGCTTTTCCTCTTTCTGGGGGGTTGGAGGTGCTGCTCACTGGTTTTAATTTAATGAAAAACATTGATATCTCTTTAGGAAAATGTGTGTCTATTCATGTCTACTGAGGCCCCGGGCCATAGACGGTACAGTGACATCCAGGTCTCCACTCTCTCTCTCTCTCTCTCTCTCTCAGTCCCTTCCTTCAAGAATTAATGGCCACTGCGGGCTCTGAGCTGGGCAAGGGACGGCGGAAGGGCAGTCCCCCAGGCCCCCATCCGCATAGGCGCAGAGGCCTTAAGAGGGACCCAAGACTCTAAAACCAGAATAGCAGGCAGTGAGCCCTTCTGCCAGCCCCCCAAGGTGGGGGGCCCCAGCCAGGCCATCGTGGGCAACCCATGCCTCCACAGCCAGCCCAGCCTGCGTATGCGGGGAGGTGTGCCCCACAAGCGTGGGTCAGGAGGCAGAGGGAGGAGGATTGTATTTGGAGGCCAGACTGGGAAAAATTGGAAAGCTGTATCTGAAAAAGAAAAACCAAAAGCAACTGTTGGGAGTGGCTCAAATAACCCAGTGCCAGGCTGACAAGCTGATATCCTGAGTTCATCATCCCCCTCCCTACTGCAGAAAGAAGGGGAGGAAGAGGAGGAGAAGGACAGCCAGGAGGAGGAGGAGGGAGAGACTGGAGTCAGCCCTTGTTCTACCCCACCCTGTGACCCCCTGCCCACACTTAAGTAGGAACAAACCCTTCTCAGATGCCGAGTCTCACTCCAAACTCCCAGACTCCACAGATTCAACAAACTCTCGGCAAATTCCTACAGCCCACACGGCCATGCCCCATGGCCATGCCCCCACGGCCACGCCCCACGGCCACGCCCCACGGCCACGCCCCACGGCCACGCACCCACGGCCACGCACCCACGGCCTAAGGCTCTTCCCACCTTACCCCCTCCTCCCCTACCAGGCAGCTGACAAACCCCACCATCATCACAGCAGGATTAACAGCCTAGGTTTACTAAGCAGAGAGCTTTTCTGGAAGCTTCTAGAAGCTTCCTGGGATAGGGGGTTGTAACAGGAGGAAGGCCAGATATGTATGTGGGAGGAGATGACAAGTGTCTTGCTTCCATACTGTTACAAGTCACTTTCTCCAGGTAAGTAGATTCCATTGAAACATATCAAGGCACATATAAAAGTTGGGCGCTGGTGGCTCACGCCTGTAATCCCGTCTACTCAGGAGGCTGAAAGCTGAGGATCATGGTTTGAAGTCAGCCCAGGTAGGAAAGGCTATGAGACTTTGACCTCCAGTGAATCCGCGGTAAGCTGGAAGTAGAGCTGTGGTTCAACTGGCCCACTCTTAGGCGGCCTAACCTGGGGTATTAGGGAGTGAAACATGAGCTTTCCCCCGACCCAGGGGCCAGCCTGGACCTAAAGCCAGGCAGGGAAGGGAGGCGGGCGGCATGGGCACCTCGCGGGTGTAGACCAGGTGTGGAGCGTCTCCTGCTCTCCCCAGCCTGCCACAGGGCCATGTCACAGACCTCCTCCCCTTCCTCCATTTCCTCCTGCAGTTCTTTGTCTCTCCCAACACCCAGCTGGTCCACTCAGTGCCCTTCCTGCCCACTAACACTTTCTAGTAGTTTCCAGGAGGATTATACCTTCTAAGCTTTCCAGCTTGGCTCCAAAGTCTCACCTGTGTACTCCAAGCCTGCTTCTGCTTCCTTGTCTTCCACCCAAGACTCACACACCCTCAGGCCACCCCCCCAGAGGGCAATGGAGTCCCTTTAGAACCTGAGTCTGTCCCTGGAGACATCAGCTTCTCCTGAGCAGGAATCCAGAAGTTTCCTGGGGGGAGGGGGGAGCAGGAGCTAGCAGAGCCCACCGAGGCTGCTGGAGATGTGCCCTGGGACTGCTCCCTGGCTGTCTTCGTCCCCACCGCTGCTTTTCCTTCCCACCCCTCCTACTCTGTGTCCACAGTGGTCCCACCTTGACACACCCCCCCCCCGCACACTCCATCCTCACAGACACGAGCCCTCCCTTCCCCTTCCCCCAGAACCCCACCTTCCTGGGGCCCGAGGTGTGCTTGCACACAGGGGTCTCCTGCCCCACTCCCACCATGTTCCTCCTGATGACTGTTTTCCTCCTGATCCATTTCAACACTGCCTCCCTTGGAGAGCAAGCCATGCTGTGGGCTCCTCACCTGTACCTGTGCACAGAAGGGAGCACCTCTTCCAGTGAGGGACCTTTCCCCAGACTTCTACTTCTAACATCCTATTGGCTATCACAGAGTCACATGAAAACCTAGCTGCAAGGGAGGCTGGCAGGAGAAAAGCTAGTAGAGCCGGCTCCTGGCAGAGAGAACGGGTTTGAGGAACCATTGTCTTTTCTGCACATTCGGTCCCCTGCCATATCCTGGGCATATTCGGGGCCACAGGACAGCCTTGCTCATCAGCTGACACTGCCCCTGCCTTAAGTCCTCCAATCCTAAGCAACACAGGACTGTAATGCAAATTTAAAACAATGCTGGGACTATTAATATAGTTTAAGTTTCAGGCAATTTTGTCACCCACAGTGGTTTTGTTTTGGGGTTTTTTGTTTTGTTTTGATCCATTCTGGGCTTGAACCCCGGGCCTAGGTGCTGTGTCTGAGTTTTTTCATTCAAGGCTAGTGCTCTACCACTTTGACCCACAGCGCCACTTCTGGTTTTCTGATGGTTCATTGGAGATACAAGTCTTATGGACTTTCCTGCCCAGGTTGGCTTCAAACCATGATCCTCAGATCTCAGCCTGATGAGTAGCTAGGATCACAGGTGCCCAGCTTGGTTTGCCTTTTTGGTTTTGCTTTGTTTTGTTTTGAATGATACTAGAGTTTGAACTGAGGACCTCCCACGTGGTTGGATCCTTGGCTGGTGTCACACCCCTTCGATTCCCATGTCTCCTGTCTCTTTAGGAGCCTTGATTCACTGTGGCACTGGGACAACTCCCAAAGTGAACAAATCAAAGCTGAGGACAGTGTGGACAGTGTGCCACTGCTTATGCAGCAGTAGAAGGTGTAATTAAATGTGTGTGTGTGTGTGTGTGTAAGTGTGTATGTGTGAAGCGAGCCCAGTGTGAGTAAGGAGACCCCAGCGGAGGAGGACAGAACAGCTTTTCAAGCCAAGTGAGCTGTGTTTCGTGGGCTCATGACAATGCCTGTTATAAGAATACATAAAATGAGAGCCAAAATCGAAATTCTAAGTCTTCATGGGGGATGGAGCTCCTCTGGGGCTTCCAGGGTCTCAGCCAGCACCCCCCCACCCCCGCCGCCCCTGAACATGTCCATTTATATTGTAGTTGGAACCTGGAAATGCTCCCAAGTGATCAATTGCAGGAAGGGACATGTTTTCCAGTGTCCCAACATGGTTGGCAACAAGACAGACCCCTAGCGCATTGTCCCACTGCATGGCCACAGTCTTGCCATGGGGACAGAGTGTGGTCTGGGTTTCACAAGGGAAACAGGCGGAGTATGCAAGATTCTCTCCCCAGGCCAGTTTCACAGACATCTGTGATCTTTCTGAGAAGATAGGCTAGGTGTTACCTGGGGAAGGGACGTGTGATGTTTACAAGGTAGCGATAAGAAAGTTCCCCTCTGTCTAAGAGAAATGCTGACTTGCTCTTTCTCTTAGGGTTTTTATTCAAGAATCAGGAAAAGGGCTGGGAATGTGGCTTAGTGGTAGAGTGTTTGCCTAGCATGCATGAGGCCCTGAGTTTGATTCCTTGGTACCACATAAAACAAAAATAAATAAAATTAATTTTTCAAAGAAGACTCAGGAAACATAAAACCTGGGCACCCCAGTGGCTCACACCTATAATCCTAACTACTCAGGAGGCTGAGATCTGAGGATCATGGTTTAAAGTCAACCCAAGCAGAAAAGTCTGTGAGACTCTTATCACTAATTATCCAGTAAAAAGCCAGAAGTGGAGCTGTGGCTCAAGTGGTAG